ATGTCTGGTGTGTCTTCATTGGTACATCTCACTTAATTCTGATTCTGCAGCTTAATCTTTTAGCCATTATACTGAAGTTAAACATCTTTCTAGGCTCTGGGCAGGTATATACTCCCTCTCGGACGCTCACAGTTATGTCGACAGCATCTCTGAACAAACTCTTGGTTTTTCCTTTTCCCACCTCTCAACCCGTAGGTCAAGACCCCTTTGGCAAATCTATGTCCAAAAAATATTTACATTACAATTTATAATGGTAGCAAAGTTACAGTTATGAAGAAGCAACAAAAATAAGTTCTTGTGAGGGCCACCACAACATAAGGGACTGTATTAAAGGGTCACAGCCTCAGGAAGGTGGAGAGCATTGCTCCAGAGCTCTTTTCATCTCATTAAATGGCCTTTAGGTTTTTCTGGGAGACCGGCAGTCAGGACCGTTCTGCTTTTCTTCCTCAAATCCATTAACGAACCCTGTAGTTTCTAGCCCTCCAGTTTTCACAGCCTCAGACCTAGTCAGATCACCATCCCCTCCAAAGAGCACTATTGTGGTACTGGGAGTTGATTTTTTTCTTATGCTTCTTCTCTGTTGCCTGTGTTATATGCCTGTTAACCTGCTCCAGAGTAAGCCCCAGTAAGGCCTCAGGCAGCTTCCAATTCCTATGGCAAATACTTAAGGAGGAAAGATATATTTGGGCTTCTGGTCGGAGGTTTCAGTTGGTGGCCAAGTTACCTGTGTCTTCTTTTGGGCCTATGGTCAGGGCCCATGTCACAGCAGAAGCACATGATGAAGGAAGCTGCTCCCCTCTTGGTGGCCGGGACCAGACAGAAAGAGCTGATGTCCTATTACCCTTTCAAGGTCTTCCCCCATAATCTCACCCTACCCACTAGGCTCCAACTCTTAAAATCCACCACATCCTGATAAATACCACAAACTGTTGTGCAAGTCTTGACCACATGGGCCTGGCTGAAGTCCCTCCTTATGTCACTCCAGTCATTCTCTCTGTGATGGGTAATTTTAATGTCTCAGTTAAGCCAGCTTGACTGTGTGCTCTTCTAAACGCTCCCCGTCCTCTACGTAATGTTTTTATAAGTTCATAACTACCCGCTTCAGTCACAGAGGAGGACTACAGCATAACTATATCTACTCTGTGCCGAGGGGTAACGAGTTTCCGGCATGGGGTAACTTGAACAGTACTGCTGCAAACACGGGCATGTGTTCTGTGAAAAGTCCATGCATTCTCTTTGGTATCTAGGTGGGGGTGTAGCTGCCAAGTCAAATGCCAAGTGTGTGTTCTACTTCAGATAGGTGGTACATTCAAACTCTTTCCAGAGTGGTGACACTAACCAGCATGATGGGAGACTTCTGGTTAGTCCACGTCCCCAGAGAGGCAATGTCTCCTTTACTGTAAGCATTTGGATGAGGGTGTGGTGACCCTGGTTTCCTGTCGACTAGCAGAATTGAGCACCTTTTTTTTTACTTACTGGCTTGTGGTTTATGAAAGTCCCATCTATTTAACCCTTTGCCTGTTTTCTTGCTAGGTCATAATCATTTTTCTTATGGATTTATATGATGTTTGTAGATTCTAAGCACAGTTTGTGGTATTCATTCATACATACAGACATACATATATACAATCATCTCCCTTGCCTAGCTCTGCGTGTGTGTGTGTTTGTGTGTGTATATGTGCTATTCCCATATAGCTCAGTCTGACCTGAAATTTACTGACTGGAATCTACTGTAACCCAGGCTGGCTTCTAACTCATAAACACTCTTTCTGCTTCTGCCTTCTGAGTGCTGGAATTGCAGACATGTTCCACCATGCTCAGCACAGTGGGTTCTCTTTTTTCTTTCTCAGTATGTATGTATGTATGTATGTATGTATGTATGTATGTATGTATGTATTTATTTATGTTCAGCATCTCCTGTGCTGGTCTTAAGATGAGGTTCAACTCCAAAGGAGTGAATTTTTAAGGAGATCTGGAGGTTGGGAGGGGGCGGCAGCTGGAGAGATAGCTCATTGCTGAAGACCACTTGCTACTCCTGCAGAGGGCCAGGGTTCAGGTGCCAGCATCTGCGTGGTGGCTCACAAGCATCTGTACCTCCAGTTCCAGGGCAGATGGCAGTTCTTCTGATAGCAAGCTCCTTGCAAGCCCAAAGACTTGACTTCCATCCCCAGAACCCAGGCAAAGCTAAATAAAAACCAGGCATGGTGGCACCCTTAGGAAATCCCAGCACTGCAGAGGCAACAACAGGCAGATCCCTGGGGCTCACTGCCAGTGGGCCTAAGCTACTTGAAGAGTTCCCAGCCAGTGAGAGACCCTGGCTAATAATGGAGGAGGGGGAGGAAGGGAAGGCAAGAAAGAGAGAGGCAGGGAGGGAGGAACGATCAAGAAAGATCAAGGCAAGGCAAAGAAAATACCTAAGAAATAATACCCAAGGTTGTCTTCTGGATTCCATATATGCACACAAACATGCATACACACACACACACACACACACACACACACACACACACACACGAGAGCCTTTCTTTGCTTTTTTTTTTTTTTTTTTTGGACATCCGTCTTATTGTGCAGCCCTGAATTGGCCTGAAACTCACTACCTAGGCCAGGCTGCCTTGAATTCACAGAGACCTATTGGTCTCTTCCTTCAAGCACTTGGATTAAAGGTGTGTGCCGCCACATTCTGTTTACAGTGACCCCCCCCCACACACACACACACAAGGGAGAAAAGTGTTTTCATTTTACTGTAGCATAAAATGTCATCCTCTTTCTTTATGATTAGTAGTTTATAGTTGTTGTTTTAGCAAATGACTTTCCTCAAAGTCATAAAGGTATTCTATGTTCTCCAAAAACTTACTGTTTTGCCATTTTAATGACATTTTAATCCGTAACACATACAGACTTTACTCATTTGAAAAGACAAAAGCAAAGCTCTTCTTTAGGGATAGGGACAGTTTTCCCACCCAGAGCATGGGGTGCCCTCTTTGCAAAACCCAGTGGCTTCCTGCTGCACTTGGGGTAAACTGTGCCTCTCCCCGTGCCTCCTTGACTAAAGCCTGTGCCCTGTGATGTCACTTGTCTTCTTGCCTGTCCTGTCTTCCGAGTGCAGTCTCAGACTTTGCACACGAGTTCCCTTCTGCCAAACACAGTGGTGTATGCCTTTTCCCCCACTACTTCGAAATCTGAGGCGGGAAGGTTATGTGTTTGAGACCAGCCTGGGTTATAAAGTAAAACCCTATCTAAAAAAAAAATAAAATAAAAATGACAACAAAAAATTGCTTCTGGGCCTTCTGGCTAAGACGAAGTGGCATTCCTGCTACTCAGAGTGCTCTTTCTGCCATCTTAGCTAGATCATTTCATCCACCTTCCCCAGGACAGACCCTCTCGTCATGGTGTTTAACATGAATAAATGATGAGTTTTTTGTTTGTTTTGTTTTGTTTTTTCAAGACAGGGTTTCTCCATGTATCCTAGCTGTCCTGGAACTGAACTAGCTCTTATAGACCAGGCTGGCCTCGAACTCACGGAGATCCACCCGCCACTGCCTCTCAAGTGCTGGGATTGACGGTGTGCCACTGCCTCTCAAGTGCTGGGATTGACGGTGTGCACTACCACCTCCCAGCTGAGTAAATGATGTGTTAAGATGCTCCCTCCACGTATGATGGTGCTAATGATGTCTCACTGAGGGAATGGGCTATGTCTCACTTGCCTTTGCGTATCCTGTTTGCAGCATAATACACAGAACTCAACCAGGATCCCAGCATAGCATGTGTAACCAGTTGTCTTCCCTGTTTGTCCCCAATCCCCAGTAAACAGACCCCAGTACAGATGTTTTAGAGTTTGGACAAACTGCAGTAGAACATCAACTTTTTGTACTCTTTCCCCACCTCCTCCAGTCTCCCTCGCCCCCCCCCCTTTATAAAGGCAATACATTGAATAAAATTATGGCTCAAAACCTAGAAACTCACCGGACTTTAAACGTGGAGGTAATGCATAAGCTAGGGAATTTAGGAGACTTGTGTAACTTTGTAAAGCTGGGGGCCCTGTTTCTGCCTGTCAGTGATATGCACTGTCCTTGAAGTTTACAAAGTTGCTAATATCTCCAAGCATTCTCTGTAGACATGGTGATTCCCAGTGACCTGATTTCTGCTGTTGGGGGCTGTTCTAGGATGTGTACATGATAGAACTTGTTTTGTAGGCAAGATTTGAAGATTTTTAGGCTAATGTTCAATGTACAGTTCTTCTTATTAATCATCAAATGTCATAAAATTACAGAGCAGAAACAGACTTTTAAGGGCATCTCACCCAGCTTTAAAAACATTTCTGGACCAGTTGATGAAAGTGGGTGATTAGTTTCTCAAACTTACCTGCACCGTGGGCATGTGAGAAAAAAAAAAAAAAAACATATTCCTAGGGAAAGCTTGTGGGAATGTTTAGCAATAAAGACATGATTTATACAGTGCATTTCATATGGTTCAGGAAAAAATTGTTTCTGCTTATACCCGTGTTCATCCACAGAGAGAAGCACCAAGGACATACAGACAAAAGGCAAATAAGTAGGATTAGGCAAAGAGTGTATTAGGGCTGCCCCTACTGCTTTTGACTTCTGGGTGAACTCGCTTCCACATACTTTTCTCAAGTAGCTCACCTGTCCCTCTGAAAAGATTGATTGCCCCCACACTGAGGTGAAGTAACTTCCAGGCACCCAGATGGAATGACTCAGTCCAATGCCCTCTTCTTCAGCCTTCTTCCTTCTGGTAGCTTCTGGTAGCTTCTAGTCGCTACGCTCCCCTTGGATCCTGGGACTAGTACCCCTTCTGAAGCACGCCACTACCAAGTTTGCATATTCATAATGAAACAAAAATCATTTGAAACGATAAAATACTTTTGCCCTTACCTGGTCAGCTCTACAACCTCTGACTTCTTTGTCAATCACAGTTGTTAGTGACAAGGTATGCGTCCGGTCCTGTCTTAACCCTGGTTTGTTTGTTCTCTTTCTCGACAGCCACTGCCTCTTGGGACACCTTTCTTATGCTGTGGAGTTTGAAGCCAAACACTAGAGCTTACAGATATGTGGGCCACAAGGACGTTGTGACCAGCGTGCAGTTTTCTCCACAAGGAAACTTAGTAGCCTCTGCTTCACGAGACAGAACTGTTAGGCTCTGGGTTCCTGATAGGTGAGAGGAAGAAACACTTGATAAGTTTTGGGTTGGAACTGTGAGGGACTCCTGGGGTCTGGCTGCTCCTAGTGTGCTTCTTGGGATTGCCTCAACTAGTTAATGACCTGTACTCACTGGTATCACACAAGTAATACCCTGGTCTTAAACTCAAACTATTTCATTCAACTCAAAATTATGTCTTCCTTTTGAAAAACCATTTCTAACCTGGAGGTAGGTACAGTATGTCTGAATCTTTGGGAGATGGCCAGCAATCTCTGTGTAACTCTGAAACACACTGGCATATATCAAAAGTTTAATTGTCAACCTCCTTGTGCCCTTTCATGGTTTTTTTAGGAGCCCTGGGGACCCTGTTGACACCCTGTGCTTAGACTGTCCTTTGATTGTTACCATTCATTTTGGAGCTCTAGAATTTTCTCATTTAAAAAATTTCAGCTTGGCAGTGGTGACACATGCCTTTAATCCCAGCACTGTGGCAGAAGCAAGTATATCTCTGAGTTCGAGGCCAGCTTGGTGTACAGAGTGAGTACCAGAACAGCCAGGGCTACACATAAACCTTGTCTTGAAAAACCGTATACATATATCATTGCATTTGCTGAAGTCTCATTCCCTGATAACAGATCTTCTGTGAGACACTGTTCAGACATGAGCCGACAGCCTGTCTATTGTAAAACGCTTTGGAGTTAGGATTTTTTGTAAGTTTTAAATTTTAAGTATCCCCCCACCCATACCCGCCAACAGCCAGCCAGCCTTGTACCTTGTATCTACCCCCCCCTTTTTCTAGGATGCTTTTTGAATGGCTCCTGTGTGTTCTGTCCTTTTCTTCTGTCCTGTAGCAGAGGATGGGACTCTGTGGCTCTTTGGTGGCAGGGTTGATGTGCAGTCTGTGACACTCTCGTGCACCTAGAGAGAAAGCACGTGTGTGAATGGTTGCCTGCCGCCAGGCACTTCATTCTGCCACCACCCAGGGGAAATTCTGTTCAGAAAAGTCTGAATATTTTGCTGACAGAGGTAAAAACTCTTCAAGAGAATTGACATGAGAATGTGCATGGACTCTAGGGAAACTCAGAGGAGGTGAGTTTGAGGCTCGGGAGAAAGCGTACGCTTTGAAAGCCTTAGCTCTGGAAATCGAGGATGAGTTCATTGTTTCAGGGGTTGCAGCTGGTTTTTCTATTACTGATGTGAGAAACGGAGCATTCAGGGGGTGGGTGCACTAAAATCACCCCGAATCATTGCTGTAGATATCTACCTAGTGGTTGTATTTCTGTACTGGTTTCTCTTTCTAAATAATAGCAGTAGGCCATTTATTATTTAGATTATTTATTCTAAATAATCACAGTAGGCCAGGACAGTGGTGATTCATGGCAACGGGGAATTTAGATATCAGTGTTTAGTTACTCATTACTGCTTAAAATCTCCCTTACTGACTAGTTCAATCCAAAGACTAACACTTCTCCTCATCTTGTGGGTGGTTGGGATGCTTTTCTCCCCATTTGGTGTTGGCAGAGGTAACCACACAGCCTCGTGAGCTGGTGGCTGAGCTGGAAGACACACTGTGTCTCAGTCACAAGTGTGGGTCCTTGGTTTTCCTTGAGTCCTCTGACCCAGCAGAATAGCCTACAAAGTGGCAGGGGAGCTCCGGATTATGACAGCAAAAACTGCTGGACATCTTAAGGACTTGGCCCTCAGCTGCACAGTGTCACCGGTGCTGGACAGAATAAGTCACAAAATCAGACCAGATCTGAAAGAAGAGAGTGGCGAGGCACCAGCCCAGCAGACAGCACACGAACTCTGCTGCCCGGGCTTCTACTAGGTTTTCTGTGCAGTGGGGCCCAGGGCAGGGCAGCCTAGCCCAAAGGAGGCCCTAGAAAGATAGCCACGCAGTAGCACAGACTGCTGGGCGGGGTGTAGACTGAAGTTCAGGGACTGTTTTATTTATTTATTTATTTATTTATTTATTTATTTATTTATTTATAGATTTATTTATTTATTATGTATACAGTATTCTCAGCATTCTGTCTACAGGCCAGAAGAGGACACCAGATCTCATTACAGATGGTTGTAAGCCACCATGTGGTTGCTGGGAATTGAACTCAGGACCTTTGGAAGAGCAGGCAGTGCTCTTAACCACTGAGCCATCTCTCCAGCCCTCAGGGACTGTTTTAATGATATTGACTGGTCGCTTCCTGGTCACTGTGGATGGCAAGTCTTTTCTTTGCTGTCTCCTGATTCTTTTCACAAGTGTTCCTATTGAAAACGGACTGAAGTCATCCTTGTATTCTCTCCTGGATGTCTACTACCAATATCGATTATTTCGTATGCATTATCCTATGCCTGGTGATAGAAATTAATGATAAAGTCACATTTGCCCCCGGGCCACTGACTGGGCAAGCCAGACTGAATCTCCGAAGCTTGTAATTATAATATTGACTCTTCTGAGTGAAGTTCAGTAGGTGGTTACTCTCTTGTGTACCTGACGTATTAAATGGTATCTCACAGAGATGGGTTCGGTCATTCCTGTAGGAGAGAAAAGAGTTTAATTTTAAAAGTCAGGATATACTGCAGTTACTCAAATCCTAGTAGCAGATCAGGGTCATCAGATGGGCAGGGGTCTTCCTAAGAGCGTGACTGCAGAGGCACAGGTGTGTCTGAAGCACTCTGAATGTGCCGGGTACAAAGTTCAGCCCCGTGGCAGGATATCCTGCTAGGGAGCCAGGAACACATTTACACTGGGATTTGTGTGCATGTCATTCATCACCTTTTCAACAGTGATAAGCGCAGTCTGTAGGTGACGGGGGTGTGGGGGTGATGTGGGGTGAGAAAGGATTAGAGCAGGGCGACCGATTAAGAGGCTTCTGCACTAATCGAGGTGAAGGGTGCTAAGGATAGAAGTTCCTGAAGGCAGGCAGAACTGGGGCAGAAAGAAGAGGGCTATTCAGAGGGTGTGGAGGAAGTGGTAACCCCAGGTTTAGGGATGTAGTGTGTGGAGGAGAAGGTGCACGGGACTTCTCCCGACTTGTGCCGTAGAGACAATGCTGCCTGCCCCAATCCCAAGGTAGCAAATGCAGTGTGAGGTACAGGTGTTCAGATTCCTGTGGGCATCTAAGATTTGAGAATCTAAAACAGATGTCTCTGGCTGAATTGGCACCTCATCCGTGCCAGTCATTGTGGCAGTCTCCCCGTGTACTATAGGAAATGATTTTCCTAATGTAAAAAATGACTGTAATGTCCTGGTTATAGTGCCTTGCGAACTTAACACTGACACAGAATTTCTCAGCATTCACCACTTAGTCTGCTGATTCTTCTGAGGCTTTTTGCTTTTGTTTTTTTTTTTTTTTTTTTGAGATTTCTAACTTCCCGTGTGTTAATAATAGAAGAGCTCCGTGGGGAGGGACAGTGCACACCCATGAGGGCTTCTCTAGAGCATGACCAGCCTTCATCTGTTTTTTTAAAATATTTATTTACTTATTATGTATACAATATTTTGTCTGTGTGTATGCCTGCAGGCCAGAAGAGGGCACCAGACCTCATTACAGATGGTTGTGAGCCACCATGTGGTTGCTGGGTATTGAACTCAGGATCTTTTGAAGAGCAGGCAATGCTCTTAACCGCCGAGCTGTCTCTCCAGCCCCCCCCCCTTCATCTGTTTTTAAGTTTTTCCTCACCTCCAGCGCCTCACATCTACTCTCCATTGCTCTGTTGCCTTCTTCCCCAATTAAGAACAGGCATGTATGCAAAATTTCAAAGCTCATTTGCTGTTTGTGAGCATAAGATAGAGGCCATGAGGTCAGCGAGGCAGTAGGTACGCGCTGGAGTCTCTGTAGTTGGTACTGGTTGATGCAGGCTCAGGAGTAAGGAAGAACATCAAGAGCTGTTGTGTATCTAGCACGGAAGTTCCCTTCCTCTCCCGGCCCAGTAGCTCATGGAACTCCACGTGGCGTGTATGGGCTTGGGGCTGCCAAGCTTGATGTACCTGAGTTCTTCAAGGTTGAAACTTCTTTAGACGCCAGACCGCTGTTTCTAAAGTAGCACCCAGTGCAGCGTAGCATCTGATTCAGAATAGTATTTTCCCGCTTCCCATTAAGACAGAAGCAGCAATGCATTTCAGGGGCAGGGGTGACTAGCCCCCTTTCCGTTTGGTACTAGCTGCAACGTCGGTGACCCAAGCCAGTGCACAGAAGGACAAGTGAAGCACACAGCACCACGTGGCCTTCACACACTTTTGTAAGGGTTTGTGAGCTTTAAGCTACTTGTAAGTTTCCAACTCAGTGTGGTGATTAAATATTAAAATTAAATGAACGATTAAAACAGTAATGTATCACTCTTAACCTTTATTTTCAGGAGAGGGAAGTCCTCTGAATTTAAGGGACACACGGCTCCAGTTCGCAGTGTGGACTTCTCGGCTGATGGCCAGCTTCTGGTTACAGCTTCTGAAGACAAATCGATTAAAGTATGGAATGTGTTCCGCCAGCGCTTCCTCTACTCCCTGTACCGGCACACACACTGGGTCCGCAGTGCCAAGTAAGTGCGGACGCTTGGGTGGACAGGGATTGTCCTGCTCCAGACTACAACCCTCAACCCACAGAAAAGGGGCCGGGGTCACACTCGGTCATTCTCTCAAGTCTTTACTCTGTGACTGCGTGTGCTGGGTCCCTTATAGGCAAAGTAGTCAAAATCCCTTGTTTTCGTGGAGCTTACACACTAGTGTCAGTTATTAAGAAATATTTTAGATATATAGATGTGCATATATACATATGTAATTGTGTGTGTGTGTGTGTGTGTGTGTGTGTGTAAGTCTGTGCAGTTTTCAGTGGTGCTCAGGAGCTGTCTTCTTTAAGCAGGGACCTAGGGGAGGAAGAGGAGGAAAGAGTACGGCTTGAGGAGATTTGTCAGAAGAGGCGAGAGCCTGGTTGTCATTTGAGAAAAGTGAGGAGCAGAGAGTACAAAAGGGAGCAGGCTGAGGTCAAGGCCCTGGCTGAGAGGAAATACCACGGACCCTGTTCCTGTCTCCAGCTTGCTTAGTCATGGCGTAGGCAGTGTGCTGTGTGGTGATAACTGTTATCGGCTTGAGAGGTCTAGAGTCACCTAAGAGACAGACCTCAGGGAATAGCTATGAAAGAGTATCTAGACGGAGAAAACCCACCCGAACTATAGACGTCGCTGTTCCGTGGGCATTGGATAAGAAGGAGGGTGCTGGCTGGGAACCAACATCCGTGTCTCTCAGCTCTCGGTGTGGATGCAGTGCAGGGCTGTTTGCTGCCCCTACCATCGTGGCTTCCCCGCCATGACGGACTGCGTACTTTAACTGGGAGCCAAAAGAAACCCTTCCTTCTTTAGCTTACTTTTGTCAAGGCAGCTAAGGAAAGCAACCTAGAAAATTGGCTGGTGGTTGTTCTGACAGCTCTGACCGCGCGGCTCTTTTAAGCCTTTGTAACCGAGTTGGAGGGAGGGGGAATGTGGAAGATTTAAAACTTTGGATGAAAATAGCCCTATAGGGTCTTACTGGACCCCTTCCGGTGGGAGAGACCAGGATGGATGTGTGTGTGGAGGGAGGGAGGTCTGAACTCAAGAGTCATGGGTTAACATGTCTGTTAGAGAAACGTCAAGACAGTATAGCATCCGGGAGTGATGTGGCCTCTGCCCCCTGCCATGACCCGGATCTTCAGTGAGAGAGAGCCACAAGACAGGAAAAGCAGGAAGCGTTGTGAGGGAAGGCATGTGAGCGAGTGTACCGTAGACAAAGCACCTGGTGAAAGATGAACTCCGCTAAAGAGTAAACTCACTCCTGTCCAGCGGAAGATAGGAAGACAGGAAAGGCGCCCACGTGCACAACTCCACCCATTGAAGGCTGCGGCTTGTAAAGATGAGAATTCATTTGAGCAGATAACCTGAACTGAGAAAATTGGCTGCGGGGATTCTCTGCCGGGAAGCAACCACCTAGGCACACAGTAGCCACTACGGCTTTGGCTCAGGGGGCCACCCTACATCTCCAGTTGGCACCCACATTGTCGGTGTTGTCAGCGTGGTACCAAAATGAAATGATGCAAGAAATGAACCATGCAAGAGTGAAGGGCTCGCTCCTGGAGGCCTTCCTGAGCTTCCCGACGTCTGCTGAGGCCTAGCGGTGTGAGGCAGGACTGGGTTTGCTGCCTGGGAAGGAAGGCATGGTTCGTCTTCTCGTTTGACAATGAGGAAAGGCAATTGCAGAGAGCTGAAGCTAGGACTCATTTAATAGACAGTGTCAGCTGCCTTCGTTTTCCTTCCCCTACAGAGGCTCATTACCTGGTGTGTTTAATGATGCTGTACTTCTCAGCCTCTGTTTCCTTGCTTGTAATTGGGGTCCAAGGGTTTCTTCGGAACTAGGTCATTTTTGTGAGCTTTTAATACAAATGCGGGGATATTATATATGCATGCTAACCATGGCATGTATGCAGCTCCACCTGTTCCTTGTACCTTTTGGTTGGGTCTCGTTCTGGCCGACTGGGTGTTCACTGACACGCCCAACTGTGGTGGAATTCTTGCTGGTACCTGTGGTTCTGGGGGGACTGTTTAACCACCCTTGTTTTGGTGCTGTTCGGGTGACTCATGCAACCACAGAGCCCTCACCACCCCGAGGAGCATCCTTGATAAATACTGTGGTGAAAGTTAATGCGTTCCACTTCTTGGCAGCGCTCTATGCGTATGCTCTCCAACATGCTTGGAGATTCTTTTTCTGCCTCTATTTTAATCTTGGCCCATCTTATGCAGTTAGGACTATCTAGGTGGCCATTCGGTCCAGACTGCTCAGGACGTCTTCTCTGAGAGGGCATCCTAAGGCAGGACATAAAGTTCTCTTTTCAGACACTGTCAAGGGGCAAGAGGTCAGCAGGAACTAAATCATGCTGAGCAAGTCTGGAATAGAGGCCAGGGTTCATATTTATAATACACCACCATCTGTCAGAGGCCCTAAACATCTCACGCCTCGATGAGAGCCTTCTTAACTTGGACAACAAAGTCCAAATACTGTATCGAAGGCTGCTTATAAGACCTGGGCTAAAGCAAGAGGGGTTCGTGGGGAAAATCTCCAGGAGTAGTTTGCTCATTCATACCCATCGATGCCAAGGGTACAGCACCATCAGTTCCCTGCTCGGGTAGCCCTGTAGCCAGGGTGCAGACATGCCAGCAACTGTGGCTCTTTGACCCCGGCTGTTGCTGGACACCTTCTGTCTGTTGAAGCAGGAGCCCGCCCTCAGTGATGCAGTACCACTGGCTGGTCGGAGCAGAGAAGTAACCCAGTGTAGTTATGCAAATGGACTCACTAGGAATCATGTGATCCTGGACACATAACTTAACCTTCCTGGGCCTCAGTCACTGTCCCGGAAAATGAATCCAATGGAGGTATTTTCCTCATATAGTGGGGTAGCAATAAATATCAACCATCAATTGTTCTGTGTTTCACTTCTTCCTCCAGGGGCTATCCCAGAGTCCCTTTTATGTGAAGTTCAGAGGTCATTATGCACATTTACATATAATTTGGGGGAATGCTGTCAAGATAGTGAGTAGCATCTATTTAATGTATTTTATGTTTTTGACCATCAAAGGTAATTTTATTTCTACAGTTTTGCATTGCTTTTGTGAGTTTGTCTGTTTTATCTTGTTTTGTTTTGAGACAGGCTCTTACTATATAGCTAGACTAGCCTGTCATTCATGCTTGCCCTGCCTCAGCCTACTAGACTCTCTACTGGAGCAGCAGTTCAGCTATATTGCATGTTTAGTAGTAGAGTTGCTGGGATTAGTGGAAACATATCTTCCTGGCTGTTGCTGTGTTTTTACATTGGTATCTAAGTGTCTGGGTTTCGGGTCATTTTAATTCTAGACGCTGGTATCTGGTCTTTTCTCTATTGGGTGTGTGTTTGACTCCTTGGTTTCTGTTGTTCTTTCTGGTTCTTCGGAGAGTGTGGTGGGTGTGGGTTGCCTGGAATGGAATACTTCTCAGAGCCTGCCAGGTGTGGTCATTGGTGGTTCTGAGTAGAATGTATTTCCTGGTGGTGGGAGCTGACACTTAGTGATGGAGATGGGCTAGGGGGAGAGGGTCTGGGGGGGGGGTTCTACTGGAGGGAGGAAAGCCGGGTGTGCCACCAGGGTCTGAGAATGGGGGTAGAAAGGGAGTTGAGGCCACAGCCAGCAGTGTGCTACAGAGCTGGGGATGAGACTGGGGGATTGGGCTTGGGGGAGAGGTGCGAGAGGGAAGCTCTGAAGCTTGCCTAGCAGCTTTGTTGGCTATCCCTTTCTGGTTGGAGTGGTGGCCAGCTGTCCCGTGGGTTCCTTGAGTGCCGCAGAAGTTGGAGGCTGAGACAAAGGGATGGGTTGGTGAGGGAGGAGGCTGTAGGGGATCTAAGCCATCTGCTGGAGACGGAGACAGAGAGTGAGGGGGGCCACAGCAAGTGTTCTGCTACACATCTGTGGATGAAACCCGGGCACTGGGTGGGTGGGGGAGTCTGCAGACCACCTCCCTGCTTCCCTGGCCCCCTTTGCTAAACGAGGTAAAAAGTTAGAAGCAGCATCAGGGCAGCTTGTGAGGAAGAGCAAGATTGGTCCAGGGCCAGGGAGAGCCCAGGAATGCAGAAGTGGAGACAGGCTAACAGTCAGCAGGCAGGACTCAGACCTTTGTCCACAGCCAGAGTAAAGCCGCAGAGCATTTGAGTGATTGAAGATTTCATCACTTGTGTTGCTGCGGACCATGAGAGAGCAAAGTGCCAGGTGCAGTTGGAGGGGACCAGGATGGTGGAGGGAAAGTTGGAGACACGGAAGGGGACTGGAAATCAGCTGTGAGTGTCTGGTACTTTCTCTGGGTCGAGAAGCTGTCTCCTGAGAAGAGGGCGGAGAGTGAGGGGAGGAAAACGATGCGCAGAGACTGGAATTGTGTTGGAGGCCCCTTTAGGCTGCTCTAGAGGGGAGGATCCCAGGAGAGAACTTAGGCATGCAAGTGATGAATGACATAAGCATTCATCCCTGCCTGATGCCACGCTCTCTCCCCGTGTATCATCTTCACTTGATGTTTGTTTCTCCCGAGTTGCAGGGATGAATCCTGCTAATACCGTCGACCCGGCTTCTCTTCCTATCACTTAGGGAGAGATAAATGTTTCCTTCCTTGCCTTGACCTTCCCCCTCAGGATGCAAGCACAAATCCTAGCAGAAAAGTCTGGGACTGCTTGTTCACAACGCAAGTATGAGAGGTTTAAATCCGACTGAAGTCTAAACCCTCCCTGCACCGAGGGAAAGCTGCATCCCACGTGGTAGTGAAATTCACAGGGTTCCATGGCTAGTGGGAGGAGGGTGAGTGGAATTTGCCCTGTGGAGTGGAACCAGTTCTGGGCATTTCATTACTTTGAGCTGGCTTCCTCCTCCTCCTGCTAAGCACAGAGAGCTTACCAGACAGGAACCTGTACAGCCACGCTGTTTGACCTTAGAGCTCTAAATGCTGAGAGCATGTTTTTATAGACAATCTATCGAATAATCAGAAACGGTCAAAAGAGGGCTAT